ATGGCATGCTTAAAAAATAACTGTAAGATTGTTTGTTAATCGATGGTTATTAGTTTTGTATTATTGTACATTTGTACAGTTTTAACTATTTTTTATTCACGAATTTACTGAAGTAAATTGATTAAAAAAGTTATATAATATATATGCCATTTCTTAAACATGAAATAACTTTCGTTATATATTTCTTAGACATTTAAAAATACCACTAATATGCAACATTTGAAATTTTTAAGTTATTATAAAAACAGGTTGAACACCCGCAATATACTATATTTAGAATGAATACATGAAATCTATGTTTAAATAATACAACTTGTTATTGTTTTCTTTTGGTGATAATATAGTATGGCTTATAACAAAGTAATCAAAATTAATCTGTATACAATAAATTATCAACGTACTATGTTCTTTTGATATAATAATAATTTTAAGAGTATTTTACGTACAACAACAAATTGCTTAGAATGTAACAGGAAGAAATAATAAAGAAAAACACTTGGACAAGTTAAATAGTAGAAACTTTAGCACGCGCGTGCTTTGTCTTAATTTAACGTGGACTCTCTTGATTTGTTCAACATTTTGTCATTTCGACTTATGAAAACTTCATTTTTATAAAGTGGAAAAATTACTAAGACGGAAATATTTATTTACACTGTGATATTGGTTTACTCTATTTTCTATAAATTATTTCGAATGTATTTTGTGTTTGATCAGTCAAAACTAAAAAGTTAAAAAAGAAAATGAAAAAACTTTCAACTTTTTTCCTACTTCAGTACATGCCAGGACGTTATACTTATAAACCCGACTGTATATCATACAAGAAAAAATACTAGCCTTAATTTAAAACCAATTAGAAAACAAATTGCATAAATTGTGCTAAATTATAACATATCGTGTACAATATAAAGAAGAAAGATAAATTAAACATAAAATTGAAAATATTATATTATTACAGTTTTTCCATAAAATAGTTTTCTTTTTTATGTATTTTAAATAATGAAAATGTAATTTAATAGTTCAAGTTAAAAATAGTATTTTAAAGGGTAGTTATAGAGGGTAACTTTAAAAATTCTAACACCAACTTATACATACAAATGACTAGGCACTAGGCAGTCGATGTAATTGCTTGAACAAAAATTTTTTGGTGTTCCCAATACCTAAAATTAATTTGTAAAATTTTATAAAATTAAGATTTAATTAAAAACTTTTTTAGCTAAAATAATGCCTCAAATAAAATTATGATTACCCTGCGCTTTATAAATAAACGTTTTTTTCAAGTAAAAATGTTATTTATATTTTAAAGCTGGCTCATTAAATACTTGAAAACTGCACTGAATATATATATATAGTACCAAGACAGCTGTGTTGAGTGGTTTATGGTGACAGTGTTGGTCACTGACGCATTCTTTCTGGAAGTTTATTCAACTAGCATTTAACTAGTTAGGGGAAGTCATGTGATTAACAGATTTTTATTTATAGAAAACCCAATGAGGGGAATCATTGGTTTTGTATAAATAAAAAAAAATTCTTTAGACTAGAAGCCGTAGCTAAATTCTCAACTAACAACATAAATTCATATAAATATCTCTATAGATATGCTAAAATCATCAAACTAGAACGAACACTGTTATTTTTATTAAATAATTAGTCTATTTCATATTTTAACAGCCAAGTTTTCGATAGGTTCGGCTCGCAAGTGTATACGCGGCTTAACGGTGTTCAAAAGGCTATAATGTCTATCTCTAACAAACAATAGTTAATTTTATTAAATTATTTGCACTAAAAATTTCGCATTAGCATTGATACAGTTAAAATTGCGTTAGTTAAATTAAGTTAGAGAATATATAGAAACATTGTGTACTACAAAATTGTTTTATAGTAACAAAAATAAGAATACAAATTTAAGAACATTTTGTTAAGAAAAAAATGTACATACAATACAGTAAAACAAGTATAGTTAATCTTGTAAGATTATATAATGTCATCAGACAACAGAGCTTAACTTTGCCTACGCAACCTTAAGGGCCCGAGAACTTTTAGTAGGTAATCAAATTATAATATTTTAGTTTATTACCAAAAAAATGCTTTTCATTACAGAAAACTGGTATTATTACTTGTTTATAGAAGTTCTTGTTAATTTTGGCCTAACCTTGCCCATAATATATTAATCTATTAAACCAAAAAAACTTTTTTGAAGGTAGGAGTTTTGTCAAAATTAATTTAGATTTCAGAGTATTGTAGGGACATGCCTAATAAATATTCCATACAAATATTTCTTGGTTTGACTATTGTTCATAAAATTATAGTCCAATTAAAATGTAATAACTTTGGATGATTTTAGTTTTTTTCCTTCAGTATTTTATTGGTAGAAATGAACCAATGTATCTTTTACTTTCTTAAGTTACCTTCTCGATACGAGTTCTATTTGATTGATGTGCTATGCAAGAAAATAAGTCCAGTTCTTTAAAAATATTATAAGGGCACTCACACATACAAAAACATTGTAAAATAAATTTTTGTTACGACTTGCATCAAAGCTGAAATTTTATAGTCAACTCATTTTTTTTTTTAAATTTACTTTAAACTTTTACGCACTCTCTTTTTATGAACACCATTAAGCCTCAAACAATCTAGACAAAAACTTTCCTCTACAGTCTTCTTCATGTGCCACAACTGTCAATGTTGTGGACACGTGCCACAGTCATGTTGTTGACATAATCCTCATTGAATTTGATTTATCGGAAAAATAAGAAATATCAACGTCTTGTTCCAAAACATGAAATAATCAAGCTATATGAATTGTCAGTCATGTCATCATTGTTAACAGTACCTTTTTTTGTGTTATTTTTTTAACTTGTGTGTTATTATATATAAGTGTGCATTACACATTTTGAATTGTACCTTTTATATCCATTAATATTTTGTAGCTCGCTAATAGATGCGGACATTGTTCTATGCTTCAAAATAATCTGACAATATGGTAAGCTGACAACCATCCTCGACAACGGTATTTCACGCTTACAACAAAAGAAAATGGACTGAGATAATCTTCAGAGAAGGAAAAATATAAACATCGTTGTAAAACAAATTCCTTAATACTTGGTTAGCTAACTAAAAAAAATTGTATTTTAATATCGTGATATATATATGTATATATATTTTCTGGGGTCGTTAATGTTTAGCTAAATAGAATACACACCATTATAATTTCCTAATAACCACATTAAAAAAAGTCATTTTAATTAAAGTTACGACATAGAATTATTGTTTATAACGAAGAGGATTAAAAGATAAAAACATTTTATGACAATATTTTATGGACAGATCACACTGAAAAAACAATGATGTATACCGTATAATAACGGTAATAACCAATTATTATAGTTTATAGTCTTACTTTCGTTTTTGAAGCTGGCTAATTTTATTTATTTTAAATATTTTTTTTACCTACCTAAAAGATTTATAAGAATGAAAATCTATTATTGGTATGACTGTATAATATCCTATGTATACGTATCCTATATTGTAGAAATATTAGTAACTAACCGAGTAACGAGTTTATTGTTACCATTGTATAATACAGAACGTAATACATATTATACATTACACGTGTATGATATAAGTATATAAGTTGCTATTAAAATTCTATGTAACTATAGAACAAGTTTGGAATGGAGAGTCCTTCGACACGTGAAATAAAGCACCAAAACATACGAGTATTGAAATTCTGGCCACATTATCACGATGCATTCCGTCTTACATATAAATTTCAAACTATATATCAATATGAAATCGATTGAGAGAGATTAAAAAATCGTTTGAAAGATATAGAAAGGTAGAAATAAGTGAGTTTTATTATGATTTCTCCACTTTCCCGGACTCATTCTAAATTTCATATAGTGCCATTATTTAACCTGTACCCTCAGAGTTCCCTAGAGCGAGGCTCTACTTAATTGTGCCACTCCAGTAAAAACTAGAAGCATTTATATAACAATTAATTTATTTTAAAGAACGTCTATATTTATAACAAATACCTAATTTATAAAACTTTACATTTAATATCTGTATTACTTTTATTTAATGAAAAACGTGTCAAACTCAAATTATATTAGCTTCTCAGTTCTCATCGCTTACAAACAAGCATAAACAAAATTATGAAGGAAAAAAATGCCAACGTCTAAATTGACACAAGTTAACCAACGTTATGAGGAAACATTTCATTTAAGTTTTGTATCACTATTTTTAAAGTGAGAGAGAAACAACCGCTTAACAAATAATAAAAATTATTATTATTGCTGGTAGGTAAAAGGTATATTAAACATTTTTTATGAAACAGACGCATCTTGGATTACTTTATTAATTTCCCACCGTACGACAGGATGGAGGACACGTCCTTCGACCTACGGTCTATCAATAGTTATATTATTCATCCACCTGCCCTTTACCTCAATGTTAATGCCCTTTAATTGGCAATGCACTTTTCCAAATAGTTCTATTTCTTTTTTGCTGAAGACATCAGCTGTTTGATAGTGCACTTTAAGGCGAAACGTATATCTAAAACGTTCTGATTTTGGGCAAGTGCCACGAATACATTTGCAGTGGTTATTTCCTGATTTTGTCCGACTTTATTGGAATCCGGCTAATGGCATGTGTGTCATTTTTATATCATACCTCTTTTCGGCAAGTCTGTCACACTTTCTAGATTTGGCTGTTCATGTTCTTATAGTTTTAAATTATGTACTATTATTGTTGACCGGTGTTAACCAATAATCTTTTATTAGAATGTAATAGGTAACGTTTATTTGTACGAGTATTAAGGAAATATATTTATATAATTTGTTTAATATCTATTAGAACAGTTTTTTTAGAAATTTGCATTTTAATAACGTAGTTTTTTTTAAAGTTATAGTAGTTATAGTGACATATTTTTTTTGAATTATTACAAAAAAACTCTACTAAAATAATATACTATACGACTCTTCGACTATTATGGTACTTACCAACAACTGTTAGTACCATTGCATGGCCTATAGGTGGTGTTGTTCCTACTTGGCATTCATAATAGCCGCTATCTCTGATTTGCGGATACCGTATTTGAAGAGTCCAGTCTTCGGTTTGAGGCGAATGAATCGCTTGAAATCTTTGGTCACTCGTGTATGTGTATCGTCCAACAGTTAGCAGGTGTATACCTCTGTGTCGAACCCACGATACCTAAAAAAAAAAATATATATATATATTTATTATCATTATAAAATTTCATATTTTGATTGTATTCAATTAAAAATTTAATAATTTTTTAGTCGTGTCATTATACTTTTCATTTACACATTAAAAACAAAAATTATGTCGAATATATTATAGTCATTATTAATTGTATAAGTTTTATAAATAAGAAAATCATAAGAATGTTTATTATATTATATGTTAACATAAAATATATAATAATAGTAATAATCTTTAATACGGAAAATTTTTTCCAATTACTATATATATAAAATGACAGTTTAAGTACATTTAACATTAATTTGTTTAATATGTGTTGCTAATAGGTATCTTTATATATTTATTAGGTAGCAAAAGCACTTTAACGGTGAACAAAATTAAATTATTTACAAGAGATTAAAATACAGATTTCAAAGAGCTCAGATTATTTGTTGAATTTATGAGGAAAAATGCTAACTGATTTTTTATTATGAGCAACTTAATACAATGTAATTTAATATATTGCAGCATAATAAATATTGAATTACAACGAAAATTAGGTTTTCGTGGATTCGCTTATAAATTAAACATACCTAAATACCGGTAGTGTTTGGTAATACTACTCCAGAATGCTTTTCAGATTATAAAAAGCAACTTAATTGACTTCAATTAACTTTGTAGTTTGTTAGTTTCTCAATTTACAAGACTTTTTTGTCAGCTAAAATAAATATCGCCAGATATTGTTAGTTTATTCACACGCATAAAATACATAGTTTAAAAAATAATAATTGATTGTTGCTGGTGTTTAGGCAATTTGTTTTTAGATTTACAATAATTTGGATGTGTTGCATTAAAAAAAAAACGTTACATAAATATAAAACTACTATGTATACTATTTTAAAAAAAAAATAATTTTTTGGCTGTACTAAAAGGAAACTGTACAATGATTTATAAGCAATATGTAATCATTATATTGATTATTCAGTTATCTAGTTCATTAATGTTTAAATGTGAATGTTATGTATTCTCTATTTGAGTGTATTAAAGTATAATATTCAATGCAATGTAGCATTGAATTGGCTTTAGTTAAATTAGTTTAAAACTAAAGGCAACTAAATTATCTAATTATTTATGCACACAAACGTTTTTTAATACCGAAATAATAGTTGTTCAATGATTTTTTTATTAATTGTGTTTTACATTATTATATTATATTATACATTTAAATTGTCTTATAAACAAATTAAATAGTTTTAAACGTATTAGCTATTTCGAAATGAAGTATTTAAATCCATACTTCGAGTATGCGTTCTGAATGAGTGAATGCGGTTTGTTAGTCGTTTAACCAAAATGAAGGCGGCGTGCGTTTCCGGTAAGTTAATTGTACATTAATTTGCTAAACAGTGAAATGTTTTTGTCCCTTTCGATGTCCGACCGAAATTCTTTTACGCCGTAGTCCCTCGATGCAGCAGTTACTTGCTTGCCTCCTAAAATTGTAGCCGTTTCGCTGCGGGTTAATCTAACGACTATACAGAGTGTCCCGAAAGTCCCTCGATACCATTCCAAGTATAATAATAATTATTACAATTTATCCGGTGGACAGTATATACGTGGAAAACGACGAACTATTCTCGCATTGTCATAATAGTTGTAATAATAATATAATCAGAAATTTGGACAATTATTCAAATTCGTTTTGGTCGAATTAGTTTTCCCGTACTTTCGGCACGTGCCGTATACATGCACAGTAATTGGACTCTGTGGCCCGGTCGAATAACGAACGACGACATTTGTCTGGTGTAGCAATAAAAACGTTCATTATATACTCTGTACAGTAAAATCTAGCTAGAACATACTTAGTCTAGTTAGACTGCTCTAGCTATGTATGTAAACTATAAAGAAATTTGCTCTAGATATAGCAATCTCTGAGAGCACGTAGAGCTAATCTACCTAGATTAGTCTATGACCTGTGTACATTTGTACATGATATTTCTGTCGAGAGCATTTAGAGCGTAGTTGATGACAATACTTCGTACGAAAAATGTCGGACCGAAAACGTTTTGCAGCTGCAGTTGTAGCGTATAATTTAATTTAAAAAAAAACAGGAAACTTAAAAAAAGAAATGAACGAAGAGGTTGTGGGTAAGAAATTGCACCGAAGATTGTGAAACTTTCATTTGGCCTTTAATTGTCTGTCTCTGTATTCTTTCAACAATTCAACAATTCCAAAGTCCAGGAAACGATTCAATGAGTTCTGTTGATATGTTTTCTGTCCCACACAAAATCACTCATCGTACATTCAAAAGGAAATATTAAACAATATAACTCGAAACAATTACTTATAATAAAAATAACAATAAAACTTACACTTATAAACTTTTATAAACAATATCGAAAAAACAACTGTACATGTGTACAGGTGAATTGTTGATATTTGCCTGCGCTCTATTTACTCTATTTAGCATGTTGAATAGACCTAGACTACTCTAGCTAGAGCGTCTTATCTCCGTGTACACTGTCGATTGTTGTTTACTATATCTAGAGTTTGTTGGTCTAGCTAGAGTTTAGAGAGGCAACTGTTAGCGTGCTCTAGGTGTTGTGCACACTACCTAGACTAAACGTAGAGAGATCTAGCTAGAGTTACTCTACGAAGAAAAAAAAAATCTACAGTGTACCTTAAGACTAGAGAGCGAGTCGGTAGCGTTTTTATTCTCAGACACGCGGAGATGTGTCGCCGTTATAAATCGAACACGATGACGGTATAAACGGTATAGACAGTTTGTAATGCGTTTAATGTGCGACTACGGCGAGGATGCTAGATCAGCAGCACCCAACGTGCGTGTGTATTTATTGGCAACGGGTTTTATGGCGCTTGTAAGTCGGCTCGGGGTCGGCGCGGACAAGGGGAAAGTCGGTAAATCTTCTCCCGCGCCCTCTTATACATTATTGTGTATGTGCTGCTGGTACATACGCGCGCCTGTGTGTAGTTTTGTGTACGCCGCTCGTGTTCAAGGTGTCTCCGCGAGTTCGCTAGATAAAACGGTCAGCGATTTTTTGGCACCTCACCACCGGAACCGGAGCCAAACTTCCGGCGGGATAGGTCGGGTTGCCTAATGCGCGTGTATCGAGAGCCGACGACGAAAACGCGACGACGGTGCCACCACAGAAGAAATCAAACCGTCATTATCCGCACACCCCTGCTTTACTTTTTAATCCTTTTCGAAAATGTTTTTTTTTCTCCGATCGATATAATATTATATAGGCTTCGTATATTTTATATAAATATATATACCTTTTTGGTAAAAAGGCACCGCTGAAATTCTTCGGTCAATGTCGCACCCGCGATCTAATCCAAATCGCGATTGGCCCACACCCAAGGTTCACGGTACACAAATCCACACGGGTCACAGCTGCTGTTATTACCGACGGCAATGACATTAATTATAAGACATTTATTGTTTTCAAAAAAAACGCGGCGAGTTTAAAGGAACCGGTGTTCTTTCGAAATTAAACCCATTTAATTTATCTTCGCTATTTATCTAAGCTAATAAAAATATAAACGCTCGGATGATGTAAAACGATCATATAGAAGATACAGAAATACTGCAAAACCGTGGCGTACATATTTAGGGACGGTTTTAAAATAGTTTCTACGGCAATATGGAGTATAGTTAAAAATAAAAATCATATTTTTAGCAGACAGAGCACAATTTAAAACTTGGTTGTATACAATACAATACAAAATTTGATTTATTAAATTATAGTTAAATTTGTTTTCTCATAAAGAACACACCGTGTGCCTCACTGAAAATGTTATTTTATAACTAGTGTTTATATATTTAAAATTCATCTGAATAATCTTATGTTGAAAATATCCTTCATCTAAATTTAAAAACAAAAGTTTTAAACATTTTATATCTGAAGACGAATAGCAATTTCAGACGAATTGATTGTATTACCTCGCATAAACCCCGGTAATTGAAACCACAAATTGCTCATGCTATAAAATAAACATATTATGGCATTTTAATATAAGGTTAGATAGCAGCTGATCGATCATATGTTTATAAACGCCGTGCGTAGTTAATTATTTGTAAGTGGGTGAACCGTTAAAACTGCTTTGGGTGTATATGTGTTTTTTACTCCAATTAATGTATATAATTTATATTTTATATAATATACAGTGCTAATAACATTAACACTATATAATGGGTTATCTGTATTTTATAGTTGGCAATTCACCCTGAGAACATTAACTCGGTTCTTCATTGGACAGTCTATAGTGCAATTATCAAATACTCTGTTCATTTATCTTCAGATATTATTTAAGTTACATTTTTTAAAAATTTGCTTGGCAATAAGAGAAATTGCCATTAAATTTATGAAATATATTTAAGTGAGAAAATAAAATCAATAACATTGTTTATATGACAACTAAAACGACTATAATGTTTATCATAATACAATAATATATTTTAACTTAATAATTTAACAAAGTTACATAGTAAGAAACATGTACAAACTTCATAAGTAATTGACCTACCAAAAGGAATAAAATCTTGGAATTTACTAATTGTGCTATTCATCAAATTAATTTTCGTTTTCATTAAAAATTAAATACTTAGCATCTGCCAAGATCTTACTGTAATATTTTATAACAATTTCTTGAATTCACATTCGACTTTATCACTTAACATAACATTAGATATCTGTCAGCAATTTCAAAACTTATTTTTTACTACAAATATATCATTCATAACAAAGAATAGTCATTAGGACTATTGAAAAAGAAAAGTTATTGATCATAAATGATGCAAAACGACATCGGTATTATAGTCAACCACCATTCAGTTAAATTTTGATTAAATGGTCGAAAACCAAACTATTAAAGCTTTTCGACTTAACAAGTGGATCGTCAGTCAGACTGGTTGACTAAGTTACGTTTTTTCACACTTTTTCTATGTTAAATTTTCAAATATTCATGTACAATTAAGATACTTAGTAGCTATG